CCCAAAACCCCAAAACCCCAAAACCCCAAAACCCCAAAACCCCAAAACCCCGATTAATATTAAATTAATTGATAGTCATTAGAAATTAAATTATTGATAGATATGGAACAACTGTAAGTACTTTCTCCAACCTCGCAACCAGGCTACACTGAGTTATTGGTAATGGTAGTTACCATAAAAATTATTATGAAGCAACTGAGTTTTATGAAAAATTCGATCCTTTCAAATGAATGTGGGTTCAGTTGATGTCTAACATAATTCTATCAGAAATTCCACTCCAATTGCAATCCCAAAGCGTAAGAAGAAGCAGGACGTCCAAAAAGAGAAGCAAAGAAAGGGATACAAGCAACCCGTAAGCAACTTTCACCAATTCTCCTGAAAAATGTATATCAAATGATTTGGGAATTTTCAACTATTTTTATCGCTAACATCAAGATTAGGAGAACCTCAAGGAAACCCCTCAATTTGGATTCTTTAAGCAAGAGGAAACCAAGGAAAAGAAGCCTAAGAAAAAGAAAAATGTAAGAAACTCAGTTCTGAATGTCGTATTCTATGTACATTTTATCGCTCTCCAACCAATAATATTTATAGAACAGACAACAACATTTGGGAAGTATGGATGAAGATGAAATGTTCTATGATAGTGGGGAGGACTCTGACGATTCTGATGAAATAGAAGATAAGCCAACATATAAACCGCAAACAATAAAACCCCAAGGTATGGAGATTAACCCTGACAAAGTATTAATGACTTCATATTACTTTTAAATGACATTTTAAATCTAGGTCTGGAGAATACTGCAAATATCATGATGGGAGGAGCTCCTCCAAAATCAAAGCACAAATGGGAGCCCCCGGTCAGCTCAAACCTTAAAGACACATCAAACGTGATGGCTGATCTCCAAAAGAAGAAGGCTCCTAGTAAGAAGGAGGTTGATTTACAAGCAACTTCAGGTTTTGCTCCTCCAGCAGCTACTTCAAAATCCTCTATGTCTTCAGGAGATGACCTTAAAGCTACTGCGAACATTATGCTTAAGGCTAAAGGGAAGCCAAAATACGCTCCATCTTCTGAGGATAATCTGACTGCTACTCCTGATATAATAGCCCATAAGAAGCATCCTGCACCTAAGTTTCACCATGAAGACAAGAAAACTGAAGTAGTAACAAAACCTAGAAGAGTAGCATCTAAGAAGTATAAAGAAGGAGCTCTTGATCAAACACCTGGCTTCTTCTAAGTAAAAATTTAAGGACCTTCAAGTTGTGCACTCCTATGTTCTCAGAAATAACGTGTTGCCTTAATAACTCAATTTCTAGAATTAGAGTAGGGGTTTTGGGGTTTTGGGGTTTTGGGGTTTTGGGGTTTTGGGGTTTTGGGGTTTTGGGG